CATTGTGTCGTAGGATGAATTGGAGAGAAGTTTGAGAACTTGTTCCCATTCCAAAGAAAAATCCACCAGTAGAAACTTTGTCATTAGCGTTGCCCATACTTGAGAAGAGAAGGTGCAAAGGAAGAAAAGGTGATTGCGAGACTCAACCTGAGCACCACAAAGTCCACAATCCGTCTTCGCGTTTGCATTCCAACTTGAGATTTGGTCGCCCGTAGAGAGTCTATTTTGAAACGCAAGCCAAGAGAAGAATGCGTATTTCGGTGTTGCATAATGAAACCATACACTTTGATACCATTCCTTCTGGTCTTGAATTTTTCAGATCATATTCCACGTTCTCTTGGTACTAAACTTCTGCGAGTAGTTATTGTTTGCTGATTTCCAGAGAATGCGGTCCTCTCCACCTTGATTTTTTCCCCGAAATTTTGATATCTCAACATCAATACTTTTTAGCACTTCTTCGAGGCCGATGGGAAATCAACACCGAAGCAAAGGTAGCATGAGCTGGATCTTGGCATTTATATGAGGTGATTAGAGATCGGCAGAAGGGTAGGAGATTGACGGTGGCTTCTCGGATTCAGTATTGGCCGGAGTTGAATGTCGGTGGTGCTGGATCTTTGTTTACGAAACGATTATATCATTTTCCCACGTGTCAATGGCTAAATCATCTGTGTTTAATTAGCTCTATTCCTTTGTAAAATTGATCTGGATTTAGCTTTGTAAGCCTGCAATCTTTCTGTAATCCTTCTGTTTCTAATGAAAAGTATGTTGTCGACCAACACAAAAAAGATAAAATGCCCTTTAGATTGTTTATCAAGATTTTTTTTTTGGGTTTTAGAAGATACAAGGGTCGTAGCAGGATGTGATGGTTTACTTCACTCTTGGCCCAAATACAGATACATTACTTTAAATGTCGAGATATGATTATGCGGAGTTGGTGCAAATAACACATTTTTTTTTATCAACTTAATCTATAAGGTGATCTCTAAGGAGTACTTGGAGGATTATGCCGTTGATGATTCATTGATTGGACTTCTTTTGAAAGGCTTCTAGCGCTACGGGTGCTGCATTCTCGGCCTAAGCGGTTTACTCACGCATCTCAACTCTTCAACCATATATGGGAAGAACAAATTATCGTCATTACTTCGTTTAACTCCATTGCATTCGTGTTTATGTTGAGTGGACGGACTGAAAACTTTTAATGAATTATGTTTCCATGTTTTTACCTTTTTTGTCATGGAATCATTTGTATTAGATTTATAACTCGTTTTATAAACCTAAAACGTTTTTATTTTTAATGAAATATTTATATTTTAGCAAAAAAATTAAAAAAAAATAGGTGATCTCTGAGATTATTGCAAACAGGTTGAAGCCAATACATCAGCTCTGAATCTCGCAAAATCAGGAGGAAGGTCGCAACTTTGGTGATGTGTTCCTTGCTTCTGAGCTAATCGATATGTCAGTCTTCTTCCCCCAAAAGTACTATGCTAAATGTGGACCTTCGATACATTACATTGGTTTTCATCCTGAAGATCCTTGAAGCACGTAATTTTAGTCCACTCTTCGGGATATTGTTTTTGACTCTTTGGGCTACAATGAACGTTTACCATAACATGTCAAGTCTCCTTCAATTCTGAGTGTGAAGTCATTGGCTTTATCAGCAAAGTTTATTTACACTGTAACTCTTTTCGTTAGGTTATAATCTATTGAGTTTTAACAATAAAAAATAGTTGGCTGCTTAAAGTGAATTATAAAAACGATATTACGCTTGCATCTTGCAGAGTCTGTAATCATATTTCAGACATAAACACACATCCAATATATATATAATCACTTTTTATATATGCATTTGAATTTCATTAAAGTAATTAGAGGGTTTGTAAAGTCTTGCAAAGATAGAATCCTTGTC